CCCTCAGCTCTTCAACCGGGACTGTGAGCAGGCCGAGAACTGGATGGCGGCGCGGGAAGCCTTCCTGGCCAGCGACGACAAGGGCGACTCGCTGGACAGCGTGGAGGCGCTCATCAAGAAGCACGAGGACTTCGACAAGGCCATCAACGTCCAGGTCAGTGACCCGCTGGAGGACCGGTTCTGGACCGGCTCAGGACCGGTTCTGAACCTGTTCTGAACTCGCTGCAGGAGGAGAAGATCGCCGCCCTGCAGTCCTTCGCTGACCAGCTGATCGGAGCCGACCATTACGCCAAGCCGGAGATCTACAACCGCCGCAACGAGGTTCTGGACAGGTGAGCTGTTTTTCAAAATAAAAGTCTCATGCACAGGTTACAGTAACAACTGGTGCCATGTTGCTAATGGAGCCACAGCAGAATTTAGGTCAGGCTACAGCCAGCAGGTTCCACAGAAACAAGGTTATTCTGCCAGACTTTCAAAATAAAGCTCCGTTATCCTTCACCTGGTTGAGCTCCAGAGCCTTCAGACGCCGAGTGACGATCTGAGCGGATCGGAAACGGCCTCAGGAGAAAGCAGAAGTTTACCGCAGACGGTTCTGGATCAGGATGGTTCCTGTTTTCCAGGTGGCGCCGGCTGAAGGCCCAGATGATCGAGAAGCGCTCCAAGCTGGGGGAGTCCCAGACGCTGCAGCAGTTCAGCCGGGACGTGGACGAGATCGAGGCCTGGATCAGCGAGAAGCTGCAGACCGCCACCGACGAGTCCTACAAGGATCCCACCAACATCCAGGTTGGTTCTGGTTCCGGTTCTGCTCTGAGCCTCGTCCTCCCTGTAATCCCGTCTGAACGCCTCTCTCTTCTACCCTCTCTAGCTGTCCAAGCTGCTGGTAAGTTGTAGTCGTGTCTCACTAACCAGCAGTCGTTCCGTCCCGTTTGGCTTCCTGTGTAGATCCGAGCGTTTGTCCTCCATCAGCTCTTCGTTTAGTTCAGGTCGTTGGTTCTGCTGCCAGTTTAGATCCATGGAGGAGAGTCCGCTTTAGGCTGCTTCAGACGTTCTCAGAACCGTCCTGATGGTTCTGCCTCAGCCCGGTCTGGAGAACCAGATTCTGGACTCATGTCTGGTCTGATATGACGTGAGATGGACGGATCAGAACCAGAGCTGCACCACATGTTGCATCGTCGTCGTCCAGATATGAATCCCGGATGTCCGGGCTGACGTGTCGTCATGGCGATGAATGTTTGCCTCATGTGGTGCGGCTCTAACGTGAGTCCAGTCGGTTCTGACCCAGAAGCAGCTTGAAGTGACTCTGTGTGTTTTGGCTCCATCATCAGTTCTGCTGCCGATGTTGTTTTGTCCTCTGTGTCCATGAATGTCCTCTGTGTCCATAACAACGTCCGTTAAAGTCCCAGAGCGTCCGCCGCGAACGGACCGGGCCGAGCAGAACTGTCTGACTCTATGTCTGTGCCGCCAGAGCAAACATCAGAAGCACCAGGCGTTTGAGGCGGAGCTGCACGCCAACGCCGACCGGATCAAAGGAGTGATCGACACCGGGAACGCCCTGATCCAGAGAGGAGCCTGCGCCGGCAGCGAGGACGCCGTCAAGGTGACCGGACCCGACATCCGACCCGAAACACTGGATCCCAGTTACTCTGTGGGATGGTTTAGGAAGTCCAGTCTGTGGGTTCTGTCTGCAGGCGCGGCTCAGCGCTCTGGACGAGCAGTGGCAGTTCCTCGTCAACAAATCAGCAGAGAAGAGTCAGAAGCTGAAGGAGGCCAACAAGCAGCAGAACTTCAACACCGGCATCAAGGACTTCGACTTCTGGTTGTCTGAGGTGAGGCTCTTCGGTCGGAGCAGAAACGCTGGGCAACGCCGTTAGCGCTACGCTAAACATCCCGATGATGTCTGCTCAGGTTGAAGCTCTGCTGGCCTCCGAGGACTACGGCAAAGACCTGGCTTCAGTCAACAACCTGCTGAAGAAACACCAGCTGCTGGAGGCCGACATCTCTGCTCACGAGGTACCAGTTGGTTCTGTTGGGCGTTTGTGTTTATCAGATGGGAAAAGGACAAACAAAGGAGACGATTCAGAACTTGGGAGGATGTAGAAAACCTCCCAACCTGTTTGGTGCCCAACGTGGGGCCAATTTGAACGCTGCCATGACCTGATCCGTGTGGCTCCTGCAGGACCGTCTGAAGGACCTGAACGGCCAGGCCGACAGCCTGATGGCCAGCAACGCATTCGACACCTCGCAGGTGAAGGACAAGCGTGATGCCGTCAACGGCCGCTTCGCCAAGATCAAGAGCATGGCCGCTGGCCGCCGCGCTAAGCTCAACGAGTCGCACCGCCTGCACCAGTTCTTCCGAGACCTGGACGACGAGGAGTCCTGGATCAAGTAAGACCTGGAGCCTCTGCTCCTCAGATGCAGAGGTCACCTTCACTGACCTCTGCTCTGAATCTCTTAGGGAGAAGAAGCTGTTGGTCGGATCGGAGGATTACGGACGTGATTTGACGGGAGTTCAGAACCTGAGGAAGAAGCATAAGAGGCTGGAAGCCGAACTGGCAGCGCATGAGCCGGCTATCCAGGTAGGTCCTCCTGACCTCTGACCTCTTAGGTCAGGCAGGGACAGCAGATGTTTTTCCTGACTTTGGGATGTTGTTGTTCCCCAGTCTGTGCTGGACACTGGGAAGAAGCTGTCTGATGACAACACCATCGGTCAGGAGGAGATCCAGCAGAGGCTGGCCCAGTTCGTGGACCACTGGAAGGAGCTGAAGGATTTATCTGGAGCCAGGTCAGAGGTCATGATTTGGAGAGCCTGACCTCCTGGAACGGCTCTGAAGCTGTTTGCTTCTGGTTCCAGAGGGAAGAGGCTGGAGGAGTCGCTGGAATACCAGCAGTTTGTGGCGAATGTGGAGGAGGAGGAAGCTTGGATCAATGAGAAGTTGAACCTGGTTGGAAGCGAGGACTACGGAGACACGCTGGCGGCGGTGCAGGTGACTTCCTGTTCCTGTCCGGGTCACTTCCTCAGATCCCAGAGGCGTTGAACTGCTGCCGTTTTCCTCCTCAGGGCCTGCTAAAGAAACACGAAGCGTTTGAGACGGACTTCACCGTCCACCGGGATCGGGTCAGCGACGTTTGCGCCAACGGAGAGGAGCTCATCAAGAAGGTCCGCTCCCGAGTCCAAAACGGTCAGAACCGGTTCCCCTGCAGCATGAAGACCAAACTCTGCTCTGCTCCCTTCAGAACAACCACCATGTGGACAACATCAGCGCCAAGATGGCCGCCCTGAGAGGGAAGGTGTCGGAGCTGGAGAGGGCGGCGGCCCAGAGGAAGGCCAAGCTGGACGAGAACTCGGCGTTCCTGCAGTTCAACTGGAAGGCCGATGTGGTGGAGTCCTGGATCGGTACGGACCTCCAGAACCTCCTCTGGTGCTGGGCGGGGCTGGTTAGGAAGGGGAGTGGGCGTGGCCAGAACCAGGTTCTGGAGTCTCGCTGGTCCACTGCAGTTTACAGAACCGGGCTCTGAACGTTGTCCGTCTGCTCAGGTGAGAAGGAGAACAGCCTGAAGACAGACGACTACGGCAGAGACCTGTCCTCGGTCCAGACGCTGCTCACCAAACAGGTGGGTTCTCCTCAGAGCCTCCGCTTCTCCTCTCTGCGTGACCCCTGACCTCTGACTGCACCCTCTGCAGGAGACGTTTGACGCCGGCCTGCAGGCCTTCCAGCAGGAAGGAATCACCAACATCACGGCGCTGAAGGACCAGCTTCTGGCCGCCAAGCACGTCCAGTCCAAGGCCATCGAGGCGCGGCATGCCGCCCTCATCAAGCGCTGGAACCAGCTGCTGTCCAACTCGGCGGCGCGGAAGAAGAAGCTGCTGGAGGCGCAGGATCATTTCCGCAAGGTGGAGGACCTGTTCCTGACCTTCGCCAAGAAGGCCTCGGCCTTCAACAGCTGGTTCGAGAACGCCGAGGAGGACCTGACCGACCCGGTCCGCTGCAACTCCCTGGAGGAGATCCGGGCGCTGCGCGAGGCCCACGAGGCGTTCCGCTCGTCGCTGAGCTCGGCCCAAACCGACTTCAACCAGCTGGCCGAGCTGGACCAGCAGATCAAGAGCTACCAGGTGGTGTCCAACCCCTACACCTGGTTCACCATGGAGGCCCTGGAGGAGACCTGGAGGAACCTGCAGAAGATCATCAAGGTCCGGATAGAACCTCTGGCTCCGGCTGAACCGGGTCGGCCCGGCATGACGGTTCTGGTTCTGTCTGCAGGAGAGAGAGCTGGAGCTGCAGAAGGAGCAGAGGAGGCAGGAGGAGAACGACAAGCTGCGGCAGGAGTTCGCTCAGCACGCCAACGCCTTCCACCAGTGGCTGCAGGAGACCAGGTAGGTCTGGTTCCGGTCCAGAGTTTTGGTCTGGATTTCATGCTAGCTGCTGTTAGCATCACAGGCTACAGCGATCATGAGTGAAACGCTGCAGCTGCTCTGGAAAAGTATTCACACCTTTTGGTTGCATCACAGGAAACCAATCAAACACAGACACACCGCACTTTTCAGTTCAGGATTATTTTTTCCCTCTAGTTCTGAAATCTGTCAGGCATGATGCTGCCACCGCCTGGCTCGACAGCGTATGGTCTCCATGGCAACCAGACTGCTAGTTCCGTCCCTGGTCCAGTTTATTTCTGCGGCGTCTCGGTTTCTAAATGAAGAAACTTCAGAATCAGAATGAAAAGTTTTTATTTTATTAGAGAAACTTATAAATAAATCAGTTTGTTTAAAAATGATTCAGTTTTACATCCAATCAACAGTCAGGATTTAACTCGGATAAAGAAGCTGTTTGTGTCCACGCTTATTACTGGAATGTTAAGTGGAAGGAAAAACTCTCTGGTTCTAAAGTGATTTAATTCCTTTATTGATTTATTTAGATGTTTTTCCAGGTTTTCCTGATCAATGTGTCGGATCCGATCCACCTGCTGTGGTTCTGATCCGGTTCTGTTGCTGTGTTGCTAACTGCCTCTCTCTCTCTCTCTCTGTGCTGCGGCGGCTCATCCAATCAGGACGTATCTTCTGGACGGGTCAATATCTCTTCCTCCTCTATGAATGTGTGATGATGATGATGATGGTCTTCCTCAGCTTGACGTGTCCTCTTCCTCCTCCTCTTCCTCTCCGATAGCTTAGCGTACCGTCGGGTTTTCTGTCTCTATCAGTACCAAGTAGCTGATGATCTTTCTGGAAGGTTGAGCTGGTTCTGGTTCTGGTTCTGATCCGCTCGGTTCTAAAACCACCATGTTGGGTCTCGGACCGCTCGGCACCTCCCTGCTAACTAACCCCACCCCCTGTCAGAACCCGACCCGGACCTCGGCTCGTCGACCCGGTCTGGACCAGAACTTCTCCAGAGGTTCTGATCCAGACTGTCCTGGAGCTGAGGTTTCGATCCGGAGTTCTGGTTCCGACCCACTAACAGCTGCTGCATGGTTCTGGTGTTTGGAGTGGATGTGTGCTGGAATGAGAATGTTCTGGTTCTGATCCGATCTCTCGCCGGGTCTCAGGTCCTGCATGGTGGAAGAGTCCGGAACCCTGGAGTCTCAGCTGGAGGCCACCAAGGTGAGCAGCTCACATGTATTCATACCGACTGCCGGCGGTTCTGACCCGGTAGCGTGACCTTTGACCCGATGCGTCGGCAGCGGAAGCACCAGGAGATCCGGGCGATGCGCAGCCAGCTGAAGAAGATCGAGGATCTGGGGGCGGCCATGGAGGAAGCTCTGATCCTGGACAACAAATACACGGAGCACAGCACCGTGGGGCTGGCCCAGCAGTGGGACCAACTGGACCAGCTGGGCATGAGGATGCAGCACAACCTGGAGCAGCAGATCCAGGCCCGGTACAGCAGAACCACTTATAACGCCGGAAAACGGCAGCTAACATCAGCTAACGGCTGCTAACACCCTGTCCTTAAAGGTTCCATCTAAATTTTGACATTTTTCTGTAAATTTGACCTAGAACCGTCTCAGTGCTGCCCTCTATGGGCCATTGCAGTTGAATTTCCCTGTTGGTTGTCACTAGACACTTTAAAAAAGACTAGTGACCCAAGTAGCATCTTTTTTTCATAAAGTCGCTATATTTGCCTTTAGTCATTTGACACTTTTAAAAAGAAACCAACTGTGATCAGTGGTTAGTCTCTACTGAGAAGTCGCATTTGTTTCCAATAGTTTTCTTGATAAAAGTCACCAGATTTATGGCTGTTGGTTTTTTAGTGAAGGTCTGACGCCCAGTCTGGCTCCGCCCCTCAGATCATTTGGCTCCGCCCCTCAGATCATTTGGCTCCGCCCACTCTGTTTGGGGGCGGGGCTAAGTTCCACATTAGTGACCAAAAGAATCACTGATCTGTTGCTGTTGTTGCAGAAACACGACCGGCGTGACGGAGGAGGCACTGAAGGAGTTCAGCATGATGTTCAAGTAAGCTAGTGGAACCAGAACCGGGCTGATTGTTCCCGGGTCGGTTCTCACCTTTCCTGGTTTTGCTCCAGGCACTTCGACAAGGAGAAGTCGGGCCGCCTGAACCACCAGGAGTTCAAGTCGTGTCTGCGCTCGCTGGGCTACGACCTTCCCATGGTGGAGGAAGGAGAACCCGACCCGGAGTTTGAGGCCATCCTGGACACGGTGGACCCCAACAGGTGGGCTCAGGTTCTGGAGCGGCTCAGACGGCTGTGGTTCTACTTCCTGACCGGGCCGGTTCTGTTTCAGGGACGGGAACGTGTCGCTGCAGGAGTACATGGCCTTCATGATCAGCCGGGAGACGGAAAACGTCAAGTCGAGCGAGGAGATCGAGAGCGCCTTCCGGGCGCTGAGCGCCGAGAACAAACCCTACGTCACCAAGGAGGAGCTGTACCAGGTGGGTGCGGCTCCGCTGCGGCCCGGTTCCGCCTCCGGACCCGGCTCACGGTTCTGTTCTTCCTTCCAGAATCTGACCAAGGAGCAGGCCGACTACTGCCTGTCGCACATGAAGCCGTACCTGGACAGCAAGGGCCGCGAGCTGCCGTCGGCGTTCGACTTCGTGGAGTTCACGCGCTCGCTGTTCGTCAACTGAACCCGCCCCCTTCCCCAGCGGCCAATCAGAGGCGTTCCCCGCTCACCCTAACACACCTGGCTGATGCATGTCTGACACTAGAGCCGCTCACCGCGTCTGTCCTATTTAACTGCTTGTAGTGAAACTTTTAAACTGTGTGCTTCAATAAACGCTACTGGTTACCACTGGAAACCGACTCCTTTATTTCCCAGTTAGTCCAGTACAGAAAGCTTCACCTGATTGGCTGAGAGCCCCGTCACTCTGCCACCTGATTGGCTATCTGCTCCAGCTGCAGGCTCTCTGCGGGCCTCTGCTCCGTCAGGTCCGAGCTCAGCCTCCAGACGCCCACCGACCCGTCGGACCGCCCCGCCGCCAGCAGCCGTGGGTTCTGGCCGTTGAAGGCCAGGCAGGTGGCGGTCCGACCCGGAGCGCCGTCCTGGATGGTTGCGGCGGGTCGCAGGGACTTCCGGGCCAGGTCAAAGATCTGGACCTCACCTGGAGAGCAGAGTTCAGTCAGGAACCAGTCGGGTTCGTCTCCAGGCTGCCGGTTCCGGTCGGGCTCACCTGGCCCGGTGGCGGCGGCGAACACCAGCGGCCGGCTGGGGGACCACTGGACCTGGAAGACGTAGGAGTCCGAAACCCGGACGGACAGCAGCGGGTCGGCCTGCAGCAGCGAGCGGACCTGGACCAGGCCATCGGTTCCTGCGCTGGCGAACAGGTTCCTGCAGAGACGAGTCGGGTCAGAGAGAATCACCAGAACACAGAGCCCGGTCGGTCCGGTTCGGGTCGGTACCGGTGGAACGGCGAGCAGTGGACGGAGTGAACCGGGCCCCCGGACGGTCTGAAGGAGAACACGGCCGGCGCCCTGGGGGTCACGCTGCGACCTTCAGAGGCCACCGCGGCCGGCGTCTGGGAGGAGAAGGAGCAGCGGAGCAGCAGGCCGCCTTCGGACCCGACCAGGAACGTGTCCGGGTCCCACGGGGACACAGCCGTCGCCGTGACGCCCACCGTGCTGCCGCCGCGGACCTGCAGGCAGAACCAAACCGGGTCAGAAGTTAGCGCTCAGCACAGTGCTGCTCATGCGCTAACAGCTAAGCTAAATAAGTTTTAGCCTAGCGCTTTTTGCTAACTTAGAAAACGTTTAGCGCACTCAGCTTCCCCTAAATTAATGTTTCTGGATAATGAAGCGAGAATTTACTCGGCAGTTCAGTTGAATAAAGTTTAAAGTTTTTAAGTTTTGCTTTTCGACTTAAAGAATTATTTAGCTAGAGATTTATATACATGCTCTTATTTTGAAGTCTGTTCACAAAACATTTCCTCTTTTTTCTCTTGCAATAACTTTATTTAAAACAAGACGAATAACAGGAACAAAATGAATCTGACTGAGAATAAGATCCAAACTTCTAAATATAATCTAACTAAAGCTCCTTAGCGTTAGCCTTTGCATTAGCTTCCAAATTTAGCTGGTCATCAGAACCAGGAAGGAAAGTCTGGATCAGGACTTTTGTACCAGAACCAGAGTATGACCCCAGAGTCCGGTTTGGTTCTGGTCTCACCTTCAGACTGCTGCTGTGGGGAACCTGCTGCAGTACGAAGGCGTACGCAGCGACCAGAACCATCCTGCCTTGGTCCGGGTCCACCGTCCACAGCAGAACCCCGCCTCCAGAACTGGAACTCAGAACTCCAAACTCTCCTTTCTTCTCCAGTGGAACCCAGAACACCTGCGAGCAGAACCGAGCCGGCGCCACATCAGCACAGCAGAACCATCAACACTGCATTCTAGTTCCACTGGGTTCTGGTTCTGCTGGGCTCTACCTGATACACTGGCTCCCTGTGGCTGTCTGCTGACATCCCGGTCTGGGCCAGAACCGGGTCCTGAGTCCGGCTGGTGTCCCAAACCACCACGTCCCCGTTGAACAGGCCTCCTGCAGGAACACACACAGACCGGTTAGTTCTGGGCCGGCGGTGCTGAGCCGTCCAGTTCTGGTTCTGTGGACCTGCGATCAGCGCAGGCCGCTCCGGGTGGCAGCACACGGCAGTGACGGCTGCAGGAACGTCCAGAACCAGGTCCGGCTGTTTGGGCCTCAGGCTGCGGCGGTCCAGGTTCCACAGGCAGACACACGACTTCTGGTTGGTCCAGTCTCCATCGTCGGTTCTGTTCAGGGAAACGAGAGGACATGATGGAGCTGGGCCGGTCCAAACGGGTCAGTTACAGAAAAATTTTAGTCCTGGTCGGAACCTGGAAGGGAGGCAGCATTTATTAGAAGCTAACGCTAATGCGCTACACCAATGCGGTATTCTGTGCATGTCCCAACAGAACACATAAAGGTGAGTTTTTGTGATGAATGATTTTTCCAGGTTTGAGGTGGGATTTATCTGTGAACGTACCGACCGTAGGCGCAGGCGATGACCGACCCGGTGCAGCTCCAGGACACGGCCGTCACATGGAGGCCTTGTTCCTGAGCGCCAGGATGTTCAAGCCTGTGGAGATGGGAAACCTGCAAACATCACATCCCGTCATCATTTTCCTTTAATGTTCCTCCATACAATCCAGATGAAAACATGAACTCAGGACCTGAGGGAACGCTGCATGGCAGTCAGGTAAACAGTGAAACAATTCCAATGTCACCAGTTCCTCATTGCTTGAGTGAATTTGATTTCTCAAGTTTTTCAGGGTTTTTTGGCCAATCGGGGCTTCCGTAATTATGTCAACTTTAATATGGAAGCCCTAAAGAACACATAAAAAATATTGTTTTTGAAAGACTTTAAATCATCTTATTTGGTTATCTGCAAGTTAAAAGAAAGATTTAAAAAGTTACTGAAACAGTTTTTTTTCACTTGATGGAATACTTTTCCCTCCCCCCCAAAAAGCGAGCAAGAAAAAAAATAAATTGTGATGCCCAAATGCAAAGTTTTCAAGTTAGTCGTTCTGACTATAAAAACAAATAGACTCATAAACTAATTAATTTTTTAAGATTCAAATGTCATTAGTCTTTCATCTGCAAGTAAAAATAAAGTTTGAAGACTAAAAAACATCTTAGGAATATTTTCATTTTGAGAACTTTTCTTCCCTGAAAGGCGAGCAAAAAAAAGACAGTGATGTACAAAATCTGAACAACTTTTCAATCAAGTCCTTCCTGTCCCTTTTTTGTTGCCTTTCAGGGCTTCCATAGTTGTTGGGGTTTTTTGCCTTTCAGGGCTTCCATAGCAGAGTCATTGTTGATGTATTTTACATGTGTGTCCGTCTGTCTGGAGGTTTTATTTCCGCTCACCTGCTGGCTTCTCTCCTCCCAGTTTGCCCGGAACCCGTCAAAAGCGTGACTCCTGGAGTTCTTCTCCAGCTCCCGGATGAGCAGCTCCTCGACGCGCCTCAGGAAGTCCACCAGCCCGGGTGGATCAGAACCAGAATCACTGAAGGCTCGCTTCGGGTCCATCTGCTCCTGTGGTTCCGTCTGGGTGAACCTGGAGGCTTTGGACCCGGTCTGGACTCCAGCATGCTCGGTGGTCACAGCGGGGGTCTGACAGGCTCTCTGGAACAAACAGAACCAGAACCGGGTCACTCAGAACAGAACCAGATAAGCAGCTGCTGCGGCTGACCTCTGACTCTTACCGACTCTTGCGCCCCCTGCTGGGATTTCCTCCACACTGACTCCACCCTCACAGAGTCCAGATCTTCATCAGCGAACATCTTCACGGTTCTGGTATCAAAGTTTCACCGGATTCAACCAGAACCGAACCGATAAAAACCTAAACTCTGCCTGTCGCTGCTGATGCTGCGGCGGCCATTTTCAGCGAAGCCAGCGTCACCATGGTGACTGCCTTTCCAGATCACGTGATGAAATAAAGACCCGGGTCGGTAAAAATCATGAAATAAAACAGGAAGCCGGAGATAATTTAGCCCAGATTATCTAAAATAAACCAGTTTAAACTCCAAACAAGAGCAAACAGAGACGTTTCTTCAACTTCTAGTTTAAACGTTTAAACAGAACAACGAAGCAACTTAAAGACGCTGCGTCATTTCCGCTTCTCGAAGCAAAACTCTCCAAACTAAATCTGAAATAAATGAGGCTAAAAAAAATAACTGAAGATGCTACAAAATCATTTTTAAAACTACTAAATAAATTAAAAATTAACAATTTTTAAAAATCTACAAAAAAGTAAAACATCAATAAAATATTAAGTCCCAAAAATGAAAAAAAAAAAAAAACTCGTCCAAAAATTAAAAACTAGAAGAAATGCTCCAAACTGAATTGCTTAAATGTTATAATGTAAATATAAAATAAACTGCAGGTTGAGCTTCTGAAGAACTTGAAAAATTATTTTAGGATCCAACAAACCTGTTTCTGCTTTTAGCTCCCAGCCTGACTTCAGCTTCTGCCGTCGCCGCCATATTGGTCAGGGCCTCAGTACATGTTGTGTTAAAGTGGGTTTATTTACCCAGTAAAAGCCAGATGCATAGCAGAAACATTTGGAGTAACTTAAATGAGTTTAATCTAAAACATGTTTCGTTTGGATCTTAATGTTTGGAAGCAGCTGAGGCCTCGTCCTTCCTCCAGGTTTCACTTCGTCCTGCAGAACCTTCAGGAACAGAATTCATCCATCCAGTCTGTCAAAACTTTCTATTCCTGTTCATATTTGAAACATTTCCACCAAAATAAATCCAAACCCAGGGCGGCTGTAAAACATTTTTATTAAAACACAAACATCCACCAGGAACAGGGACGGCGTTCCCAGGAGGAACCAGTTCCCTTCAGGACAGACCTTCTGGTTCCCGGTCCAGACTGGGAGGCGGACCAGAGCCGCTGCTGGTCAGAGACCAGTTCATGAGCTGCTTAATGCTGACGTCACATTTCACATTTAGAAACAATCATTTCCAGAAGTGAGATTTTCCCAGAATGTTCAGCCATGACGCCACTGCAGCGTTCCCCGGCCAGAACCAGAACCAGAACCACTGGTTTGGACCTGCTTCCCTCTACAAACTAATAAAACTCAAATTTCTTCAGCAACACAAACTGAAGTGCTACTACTATTTAACCTTTGACCTCTGACCAGCTGCTGACATCACTACGACCAGAACCGGATCCATGGATCGGACTTTAAAACGGTTTAATGCAAATAAAATGAAATGACCCAGCAGTGATGAGGTTAAACCCACAGAGGTTTTAACACCTTCATGTTCCGACATGAACAAATACTGCTGCCTGCGGCTCTTTAAAAACAGAGAAATGTTTTAATTACGATTAAAATGTCTGGAACTGAATTTTTACAGTTTTTCATGTTAAATTTGCCCCAATTTTCCTAAACAGAATTAAAAACAGCAGAAACCATTTTTTTTTTTTAGTTCTTTTGTTTTGATTCTACATTATTTTCTTCATTTTGCATAAAAATTAAACATTTAATTCAATGAAAAAGTTTAAAACCTTAAACTAAATTCATATTTGTAGATCTTTATTATAACTGTAAAACATAATTATCATAAGCTTTTATTCTGAAAGGTCATGCAGGTTTCTATAAATAAATGTTATTAGTTAATTATAAGAACAAAAACGGTTCTTTGGTCTCTAAAGGTCACTGAGCCCATTGGTCAAAATGGCCTAGTCAAAGGAAACAGCAGCTGATTTTCAGACCTTTGCAGAGGCAGAACAATGAGGAAACTGGTTTGATTTATCGCTGCACCGCATCAATCATTTTATTCCACTTCCTGTCACTCTGCTTTTTGTCCGTCACAATAAAACATTAATATTAAATAAAACATTAATATTAAATAAAACATGAATATTAAATAAGACCAGCGGCCGAATCTATTAAAATGTTTCAGGCATTTTAATCAAAAACTGTGGACAAAATAAGCAACATGTCAATTCAAACTGTTAGACTGAAAATGCTACATGTTAGCATTGAGATGCTAGTTTAGGCTAGCATAGCTTCTCTGCTAGGCTAACTGCTTTTAGCCCAACAACAGTCTTTCCCAGCGTCCAATCAGATTGATTAGAAACATAACTGAAGAGAGAAGCAGCTTCCATCGCTGCTGCTAGCGGATGTAGCTGTGCGTCAGATTTACGGCTCTCCCAGAAACATGAAGAAAAAGGTTCCAGGAGGAACTTTTGTTTTAAAACGTCTTTAATCTAAAAGTTTTGGCCCTGATCAGAATGTACTGGGGTGTGAATACTTATCTGGTGTGCTTAGCCTAACAGTTCTCCATTGGCTGCTTTCCCCGGTTCTGGTCTGGTTCCGGTTCTGGTCTGGTTCTGGTTCGGGTTAAATAACCAGAGGCAGATTCTGTGAGGCAGTGGCGTTGCTGTGCAGATAAAACTGGTTTATTATGGGATGTCTGCATCAGTTACTGGGTAAACTGGTCCAGTGTGTTTATGGGTTTTAGATCTCTGTCCTCTGATTGGACGTTTGGTTTGAGCCAATCAGAGCAGAGCTGGTCACATGGTGCAGCAGCTTCATTGTGCTCTGGATCAGAACATTATTATGGGCTTAGTGAGTCAGAACCTGATCCCGTCTCCATGGCAACAGGCCTGCGGTCACCGACCCGCCTCACTGGTCTAGCAGGACGGTCCGGAGCCGGTCCTCCTCGCTCACGGTTACCGTGGCAATGGCACCGTCATTGAACTCGAAGGACGTGCCGCCGTCCACCACCATGCAGGCGTCCCAGCAGCGCGAGCGGACGCACACCCTGCAGGAGGAGCAGAAGAAGAAGCTGCAGCGTTCACTGCTTCCTGTCCGTGCAAGACGGCCTAGTCAAAGCACTGACTTGCTGGCAAAGCCTCTCTGCCGGCTGCTGGAGAACACACGGTTGCTGATTGGCTCCCTGACGCTGTAGAAGAGGCGGGGCTCGTCCGGGGCGAACACCAGGGACGCGTTGTAGTCATCAGTTACTGGGCCAGAACCAGAACCAGAACCAGAAAACATCAGAACCAGAACCAGAAAACATCAGAACCAGAACCAGAAAACATCAGAACCAGAACTCGCTCTGTTGGGTCAGAAACTCACCTTTCTCTAGGAACTCCCTGCTGAGTGGCAGTTCAACTCCTGCCTGAGACGCTCCTGCAGAACAACAGAACATCAGAACCGGGACGCTTCACTCAGAACCGGGCCGCTTTACATACCGATTCTTAGAACCTCCTCCACAGACTGTTCAGCCAGTTTGTTGATGTTATACGACCTGCAGGAAGAAAAAACTAAAACTAGTTAAAAAACATAAAAACTAAAAACATGAAAACTAAAAGCAGCTGACAGAAACGGCTTCAAACAGAGAAATACCTGAAACATTAAAGACCAAAGAATAAACCAACATCCAAATCAACATTTGTTGCTCATAACTGTTAGAGCCTGAATTCTCTTCACAGGTTCTGGGAGGGTGGAAATAAACCGGACCTTTTACAGGTTAAGAACGGTTTGGTTCTGAAGAATTCTGATAGAAACGGCTCAGTTAAAGTTTCAGAACGAGGTTCTGTCCCGGTCCGGACTCACCAGGCCTTGGAGCCGGTTCCGGTGCACACGCTGAGCCCGGAGCTCTTCTGCTTCTCCCAGGGCCCGCCGTCCACTGAGATCTCGTAGTAAGACGCCCTATGGAGGAAGAGACGGGGAGTGAAGACTTTTAGCTGGGCCCTGTGGTGGAAGAGAGTCAGCCGTGAGTTCTGGACGGACATGCGGCCGGCGGGACGGTTCGGGTCGGGCCGGGCCGGTACCTGGAGGACAGAGATTCCCCGATGAAGATCTCGTTCAGGCTCCGGACCGGCAGCAGGCTGGGCTTGGAATAGGCCGGGTGCAGCGCTCCAGCTCCTGAAACACGGCAGAGAGACGGACAGTTACTGCCAGAACCGGGCCTCCGAAACCAGAACCGGTTTCTCTGAGGGACGGTTCTAATGGGTCTCCTGGTTCTGTAAGGCGTACTCTGCTGCCGGTCCACGGTGCTGATCCGGTGGGCCCGGTTGTGCTGCTCCAGGCTCAGCTGCTGCTCATGCAGGTCCACTGGAGTCGGGTTGATCCCGGTTCCCTCCAGGTGCAGCCGGAGCCGCTGGCGCCACAACCACCTGCACACAACAGAACAGCTGGACCCGGTTCTGATGGGGAGCCTGGCCGCTAGCGCTAGCTATAGGGAGGCTGGAGCTAGCGTTAGCTATGGGGGGCTAGCAGATAGCGTTAGCTACAGGGAGGCTAGCAGATAGTGTTAGTTACAGGGAGGCCGGCTGCTAGCGTTAGCTACAAGGAGGCTAGCAGATAGTGTTCGCCATAGGAGGCTGGCAGATAGCGTTAGCTACAGGGAGGCTAGCAGATAGTGTTAGCTACAGGGAGGCCGGCTGCTAGCGTTAGCTACAAGGAGGCTAGCAGATAGCGTTCGCCATAGGAGGCTGGCAGATAGCGTTAGCTATAGGGAGGCTAGCAGCCAGCGTTCACTATAGGGAGGCCGGCCACTAACGATAGCTATAGGGAGGTTGCAGGCTGTTAGCATTTGATAAGCTAGCGTCAGCATTAGGTAACTGCTCACATTTTTTTCTTCAAAAACAAAAAGAAAACTGGATGATAAACTATGGCTGCACCGACTCGTTCTGTTGACGTTGATAAAGTTTCCTTAAACAAGAAAATACAAGTCAGGGATGACCAGCCTAGATATGCTAGCTGTTAGCTTATCAAATGCTAATGTTAGTTAGTATTCTCCTTCTCATTAGCCAACACTGCTTGCTTAGTTACCGTTCCAACCTGTCACTAAACAGATCAGTGGTTTCTGAATAGATGTGGCCTCTGCTGATCAGGAATAGCAGCTAGCGTTTAGCAGCAGACTGAACTCTTCATCCTCTTCCTCCAGGTTAAGAGGATCTGGACTGAACAGAACCTTTGTTGGTCCTGTTTCTGCTCATCCTGGGATTAAACGTAATCTCACCAGGTGCTTTTCAATCCAACTGTCTGAATCTCCAGATTTACATACCGAGTCAAAAGAATTCACAACGACTGAAGGTCTGACATAAAACCTGAGGAAACAAAATGATTCCTGGCTTACAAAGGAAATCTGAAAAGTGTGGCGTGCTTTTATCTCCAGTCCCTTTGACTGGTCGGGTCTCTGCCAGCTTCAAACGTCTGCAGACAGCTTCACCTTTGCAGAGACCTCTGGGACAAAAGCACGCCACACTTTTCAGATGTTTTTCTAGGAAACCATGAATCATCTTCGTTCTACTTCCTGTTCCAGCTGAAGCGATGAGCTGCGTTCGCTAAGCTCAGAGCTTACAGCCTGATCTCTGAAGCTAAGACCCGCTGAAGCTCTAAGCCAATCAGAGCAGCCGACCCGGCGTGTCGGCGACGGCAGCAGCATGGCGCTCTGCAGCGCTAAGCACAGGATCAACGAGTCGCCTCCGAGTCCCGGGACACGGCAGCTGACCACCATGTGACTCGCTAACCTGTCCTTAACAACGGATCAGCAGTGTGTTAACCAGCTGGAATGCAGGTAAATACGCCCCTGAACTCACCACGGCAGACAGGTAAATAAGAACCTGAACTCACCACAACTGACAGGTAAATACGCACCTGAACTCACCACGGCAGACAGGTAAATACACACCTGAACTCACCACGGCAGACAGGTAAATAAGAACCTGAACTCACCACAACTGACAGGTAAATACGCACCTGAACTCACCACGGCAGACAGGTAAATACACACCTGAACTCACCACGGCAGAGCCGCTCCAGAGCCTCTGGGAAGGCGTGGGTGTAGCGCACCGGCAGACACAGGTGACCTTCTGACCTGTGGAGAGATGGCCAGGTGAAGCAGGTGATGCAGGAGGCGGGGCTTAAACAACATGGGCGGGGCTTACCTCTCTGGGTCGGTGTTCACCCCAACAACCGGCTTGTCCTTGTTCAGAACCTTACTGGCCACCAGCAGCATCGTCCCGTCACCTGGAACAAACTGCAGTTATCAGAACCAGAACCGGAGCCAGAACTGCTCTAATCTGCATTTTAAGTTCATGTTTCATAAACAAGCAAAGAAAACATGAACCCAACGTCAGCAGAACCGACCCACGGCCCGCTCTCAGGAGAAACCGGACCTCCAGAACCAAGAAGTTCTGCAGGATTTGATCCAATAATTCGGTGCTGCTGCAGGATCTCCTGTAGCAGTCAGTGTACCAGCGGCCTCTGACTGTAATGGGATGCTAGCAGGCAGCAGAGTCGCCACAGTCAGCCGGTGTGGGGTCAAAGGTCAGGGGTTATTGCAGCCTTTTAGACACCAACCAGCTGGAAAAACAGGACCTTGTTGCCATGGTTACACATTATTTCTTTCTGAAAGTTGAACACAAATGCTTCCAGCTACGTCCAGAACTCAACAAGTTGTAGCTCAATAAAACTGAAGAGTTAAATACAGAGAAAAATTTAACTTTTTCTCCAGAGTAGCAGCGACACTGAGCTCTGATTGGTCAACAGAACTCGATGGGCGGAGCTTACCTCCAGCTGAGACGATGGCGTCGGCCCACCGGACCACCTCCTCATCGTACTCCCCTCTCCTCACAACCCGCACCTCCACGCCGGCGCTCCTGCAGACAGAGAGCCAGAGCTGCAGTTGCTGTGTGTTCCTCCATGGGCAGACACACAGCAACACACAACACACAGCAACACACAGCAACACACAGCAACACACAGCAACACACAGCAACATGCAGCTGGGCTCACTGCAGGCTCTGGACGACGTGCTCCACGTTGCTGGTGTGGATGTTGTGGCGTTCCAGCAGGCCGCTGTAGCTGGAGCCCTTCATGGCTAGCTGAAAGAAACCAGAGGTCAAAGGTCGAGCTGATGGAGCCCTGGGGGTTTTGTTCTCAGCTGTCAGCACCAACAGA